CACACAGTTCTCCCAGTTGCCATCAGCTGCCCCATTACATTTTCCTGAATCTTACTGATGACTTGAAATCTATCCCCTTTCAAAGGTGATTTTAATTTTGGGAAAAGCCAGAAGTCACAAAGTACCAAATCTGGGCTGTAGTGGGGCTGAGTCACCCGGGTGGTTTGATGTTTCACCAAAAAACTGCACAAGATGTGATATATGAGCAGGCATGTTGTCATGATGAAGCTGCCAATCACCAGTTGCCCACAGATGTGGCCTTCTGAATCATCTGAATAGTTTCCAGGGAGGAATGTTCAAGCCTAACACAAAATTTGATGCAGATTTGTTGCTCTATTCAATCATTTTGAATGTGACGGCCACACAGTACACATTCTCACTCAATGGTATACCACACCCACTGACTAGTACAGTGAATCATCATTGTTTACACATGTGCATTCCAGTCCACTCTCCTTGGCTGCCTGGTTACATCGATGTCACACAAACTGTTCTCATTATATTAACAATGGCTGTAATTTTTCCAGACAGACCTCATATGTATATGTGTGTATATAGGCGTCACATCGTCATATGGCATTTTAAGAACAAGCATAATTTGGCAATTCTATATAAAAACTACTGCTAATTATTATTAATCTTATAAAGTTATAATCTCATGCTATTTTCATTACCACAAAAATATATGTCATGGCTAAAATCCAAAACACTGACCAAAAAAACCTCTTGAAAATAAAGGACAACAGGAACTCTCATTCATTGCTAATAAGTGTGCAAAATGGCACAGCACTCTCATGGTAGTTTGGCAGTTTCTTTCAAAACAAAATGCACTCTTCCCAGATGACTTAGCAATTGTACTTCTAGAGATTTATTCAAATAAGTGGAACACTGAGGTCTATACAAAAACCTACACGTGAATATTTATAGTGACTCTACTCATAATTGTCCCAAATGGAAGCAGCTAAATGTTCCTCAATAAGTGAACAAATAAACAAACTGTGGTACATCCATAAAATAAAATATTACAGCATTGTTTTTAAAAAGAGCTATGAAGTCACAAAAGGACATGGAACAACTTTAAATGCTTATTGCTAAGTGAAAAAAGTTAGTCTGAAAAAGTGTACATACTATATGATTCCAGCTTCATATTGTAGGATTCCAACTATGTGACATTCTAGAAAAGATGAAACTATAGAGATAGCAAGAAAAAAAATCAGTTGTTGCCCAGGGTGGGGGATGGGAGAGAAGGGATGAATAGGTGGAGCATTTAAGTCAGTGAAATCATTCTGTATGAAGCTATGGTGGACATGCGATATGTACTTTTCAAAAACCAAAGAACTATACAATATAAATAGTGAACTCGAATATAAACTATGGACTTTAATAATAATGCATTAACATTGTTTTATCAATTATAATGAATATAGTATTTTAAGGTAAGGTGTTAATAGAGTAAGCTATGTAGGGGGAGAGATATATGGGAACTCTGCTCAATATTTCTGTAAGCCAAAAACTGTTCTAAAAACTAATATTTAATATTTTTAAAAAACATAATAAGTAATATTAAAGTTGACACTGAAAACTTTTTTCTAATTTGTAACATATTGACAAAATAATTATTAAACTATATCTATTACTTATGTATTGAATATTTGTCATTCTTGTACTATTAAACTTAAAATTCTTTAACTATTTACCTATACTTCAAAAGATATTTAATTCACATTCTGTCATATGGAACTAAATAAAACAGCTCTCCCATATACGGATACCAGAAGAACTTTTAAAAATACTTTTCCCAAAAGAAATGTTCTTAATATACTGGTATAGCTCTCATTTTCATTGATTTTCAATATAGTTTTGACTTGCAAAAACCACAGTAAATACTTTGCCTATAATTACTGTTATGAAACAATGCAAAAGTTGCTACAAACATCTATGAGATAATTACTTTTAGCTACTAAAAGCCCTGGATAGCATTTCTCAAACTTCAGTATGCATGGGTGTCGACTGGGAATCACTGTAGTTGGTTTGAGATGGCACCTGATAATCTTCATTTCCAGCAAGCTTCCAGGCAATGCTGATGCATAACTACACTTTGAGTTGTAACGTTTTAGAGCATGTTTGCATCATAAAAACATTACCACTGGGAAAAGCAAACCCAAATATCTAGCAGCTCCTGCAAAGAATTAAAAGAGCTTCTTTTGTTTTCCCCCACCTGGAAAAGCTCCCATGGCTCCTAGCACTCCTAAATCTGCTTTTCCAATATCTAATCCTTTTCTTTCTTTTTTTAAAAGATTTTATTTATTTATTTTCAGAGGGAGGGGAAAGGAAGGAGAATGAGAGGGAGAGAAACATCAATGTGTGGTTGCCTCTCGTGAACCCCCTACCAGGGACCTGGCCTGCAAATCCAGGCATGTGCCCTGACTGGGAACTGAGTCTGTGGCCCTTTGGTTCACAGGCCAGTGCTCAATCTACTAAGTCACACCAGCTAGGGCATTCACCTTTTCAATTTGATCTGTAAAGAGGAAGGCATAACCTTTGCACAGTAAGGAAGCTTTCCATTTAGTCATAATACTCTCTTCACCAGTGTGAAACAAAGATAATCTATTTCTAATTTAATTCTTTGGTTTATATGTCTTCAGTTGAAGAAAGGTCATTGGACTGGCTCAAGGTCACTTATCCAATAACTATAAAGGTCAGTTCTCAAATCCAGGCCTCTGATTCTAAATCCAGTTCTTTTCCCACCATTCTCTGTGGCCTCTAATAGTGATGCACTTCAGAAGACAGGGACCAGCTTGTTTAGATCACAAAATCTCAGTTCTAGATTTATTTGCTTAGCCTAGGGCCTTCCATTGTAATTCCTAACATAGGTTTAAGGTCTTGTGGGGGATCAGCCACTGCAACGAGGAGGGTTTCTTTGTGTTTCAAAATAAGCCTTGAAATTCAACACAATTATTTGTATTAATGAGCTTATTTGAAGACGGTGTAAGCTTGAGAGAAAAGATTTGGATTTTATTGTGTGTGGAGAATGGGGACGAGAATGATTTGTTGTATTTCTCCAAACCTAATCATTCTCTTGGAAGAACTCACAGCCAGCCCAAGTGTGGGAGTCAGCCTCACTTACGCTGGGGAAAAAACATGATGACTTGGTGTCTTCAGTGGGACTTCTGGGCTGTTAAAGATAACTGAAACTAAACATTTCTTTACAACATCAAGAAAATAAAGTCCAGAGATGTGAAAAAGATTTTGTCTTGTTGTACAGATATTATTAGCTGGAACTTAAGATTTGGAGTTTCTCAACCCCTGATTTAAGTGCCAACCTTAACTTCACAAAGACATCAGCAGTAGGTTGGGGTGAAAGAACTAATACATATGAAATATTAAAGTGACATTAGGATCTACACATGGCTTCCAGATACTGTCTTCGTCAGGATCCCTAACAGAAAGAACTGCTTTTGTGTGCTCTTACCCTCTCCCTCCCGAGACCTGGCAGCATACAAAAGAGATAGTTAGGATAATATGACCCTTAAGTGCTATCCCTGCCTCTGAGCACTGGGCAATTGCCCACCATGGAAATTCTGTTCTTATTTCGAAGGGGGATTCATGCACGTGTGTGTGCGAGTGTGTGTGTGTGTGTGTGTGTGTGTGCGCGTGCGTGTGCACGCCGCATGCAAGCAACTCTGAATTGAGGCGCTTAAGTTGGGTAGCGGGACTGTCTCCCTCCGGGCCCTGCTCTGACATACTCTGTATTTTTGTTAATAAGTAAGTTAGTAGAACTGTCTTCATGGGATTGAGTGAATATAAACTAGATGAAAGGCAACCAGGATTCTGGGTCCCCATTTCTGTCTTTCTGGGGATATGCTGAGGTGTTCATGTGCGAAGGCTGAACAGCGATGCTACCATATGTGAGAATCAGCCTTAGCAACTCAGGACCCAGGCTGGAAAATCAGCAGCCTCTCACTTCCTTATTGGTGATCTGAGCTTTGAGAGGCAATTACCAATGCCAGTTTTAAGGAGCACAAAAGCCCTTTGTCCTTTAACAGGTTTCTAAAGGAATTCCACAGTCTCCCAGTCATGGCAAGTCTTCAGAAAAGCATAAAATGACTCAGTCTCAGAGCCAGGAGACAGATACACTGTATTTTTTACCAGTGTTTGGAAATCTGCCTCTGGCTGACATACCCAGCCTTGGCTTACTACTCCCTCACACCGTGGTCTTAATGACCATTACTCAGGGCTGCCGTCCCCATGCTCCCCACCATGTGCCATCCATTCCCCTGTCCTCCACCCTCTGATCACACCCTATCCCCCCACCAGACCTCAGCAGCTGCAGCCTCTGTGAGAACCTTCCCTGACAGCTTGTAGTCGGATGCAGCCTCCCTACTCGTCGAACTCCCGTAGCAGTGACAGACCCACGCCGCTCATTTGGCATTTATGTTGAGCTTTAGTTCTGAGAAGGAATCACCACAAGTGGAAATATTTTGCTTAACTTCCCAGGATAAATAAGAATGGGGATAAAAAAGAGAAGTGCAAATACCACACTTGTTGAACTTTCAAAAATGTTCATGCTAAAAATGCCAACATGTCAAGAAGGAGGAAATTGGCTTATAGATAAGGTGGCGGGGCTGTTTCCTTTTCTGGGTATCATCTCTGAACCTCATTCACAGGATTATACCTGGAAAGCTTGAAGAATGTAGTGTCAGGACAAATTCGAAAGAAAGAGATAGATATCAGTTTACTATAAAGAGCAACAATTTGCAAGTGTGGCTAACCAATAGTGAAAAGGGCAACAAAAGATGGATAGCTCTCATGCCGCAGAGAGGAATGACCAGTCTAGGACACTTTGGCTGGGAAGTAACATATTCAGTTTTGAGAGAAGCAGCTCCCTGGCAGGGTTCTTTGCTCAAAGATGCTATTTTTCTACCACAAACAGAAATGATAATGGCTTGCACACTTTGCAATCAATAATAATAAAAGCACAATGACCATGGATAACTTACTGTGCTGACAGTGAATCCCATTAAATCCTCGGGGACATTTACAAACATAGCCTATGAATGTGTCCCCTCGATACGCTTCACTTATTTCACAGGTTCCTCCATTATGGCATGGATTAGGAATGCAGGGACCTGAAAGACAGAAAAAGAATATGGCTGCATAACGCATATGCTTTTAAGTAAAAATTAGGTCAACATCGTGCAATTAACTATTTTATAGAGAAGTGGCACAGGAAATGTACTAGTTGTGTAGGGTCTGGAGAAGAACGGGTTTGAATCCGAGTTTAACTATTTCCTAGCCATGCGGTCTTAAAGGATTTATCAAACCTCTGTATGCCTCAGTATCACCTTCTGTTACATGTCAATGCTAATGGAATCTACCTCAAAGGGTATTGATACTGATTTTAAAAAGGTAATCCATATAAAATACCCAGAGCAGTGTCTGACACATAGTAAACATGCTGGAAAATATTAGCATTATGTATTGTTATTAAGATTTTCAAATTTTAAAATATCTTTTGCATGTTTATGAACTAATACTGAGGGACAGTTTTTGCAGTTTGAACACAGGGGAGCTTTGTGTCCTGCTGGTGAAAGAATAAACTTGCAAATGACTGTAACCATATGAGCCCGGTGACATAGCTGTTGTGGCAGGTCATACTCCTGGAGAATCACAATTTTTGCTGATCTATAAGGAGTAGCTTGTCAAAAGTTGCAAATATAGAGAAGAGCTAATGGTTATTTTTCAGCTTTAAGAAAGGAACTTAACCAGAGTGACTGGTACCTGTGATGTAAGTGGGGCACTCAGTCTCCAGTGGACTGAGCAACCAGCTGCCAGCACTGGGGGGCTGTGGAGCCAGGCCAATCCACCTGACCCAGAAGTCCTCTCATGCGCATTCTTTGTTTTGGATGCCCCTTGGTATGGCTGAGTTTTTCTCAAATGGCATGGCAACCTGAGACTTTTTATATGCACTCTCTCTTCCTTTTTTTCTCTCCCTTTAGGGGTGAAAGGCTGGTGTCACAGTCTGAAGGGTCATCCTGCTTGCTTTTGCTCTCTCTCCCCTTCGTCCATCACAAACATTTCCCAGTAAATCTTTTACACCTTTAAGTCTGCCTTAGAGTTTGCTTTTTGAAAGGTGCGAATCGACTCAGAGCAGAATCCAGAATGGGCATTGTGAAAAAGGGAAGGGACAAGTATAAGAAAGAAAAAACTCAAAACTCACACTCGGCAATGAAGAAAGGCCAAGTAAGATATAGAGTATACTCTAATTTTGTTCATTTTTTTAATTGGAGAGAGTAAAACATCTTTATAAGTCAAAGAGAAATCACTGAAAAGAAAGGTAAGATGCATATATTAGGCAAAGAAAGCAGGAGTAATTAAACCAAGTGTCTGATTATGTATGAAAGGGTAAATTACAGAGTCCTGGAGGAATACTAGTTAAGAAAAAGAGCAAACGGTTTTAGCAGAGGCCAGAGGGAAGGTGAAAGGGTTGGGCACAAGAATAATGGTAACTTCAGGCACCTGGGTAGGAGCTCCACGAGGCAAGGCTATTAGGCAATACAATAGTGAATGGCACTCGAGCATGAGTCAAAGCCATTTAAAGATTTATGGAAAGAAAAGGAAACCCGCCATCATCACTTTGAGCAGTGCCATAGGACATCCGGGATGGGAACCGATTAGGGGTTGGGCAATATTGTCTTGCACTGAGGCAATAATTTATAACTCTATTTATTTCTCTAACAGCTGTCTTTGACACTTGGTGTGTTCCGGTTTAAAATTTTGTGAAATTTAATGGTTGAAGAACTGAATAAAGATATGTGTGAAATAAGAAGTAATGTGGCAACTTGACAGTATCTGGATCCTCACCTCTCAATAGGGCTGACTTTAAAAAGTGAAAAGAAATCCATGTATCTGTGATTTTTCTCCAGATTTCTCCATACTGATACATTTACTTAAGTAGGGAGTGTTGTGCTGTGCAGTACTTGTCAATTAAACAAACCAACACCTGCCCTTGAGGTGACACATTGCCAATGATTGAGACAGGAAGAAGGTGCATTACCAATGATCAGCTTTGTGGCAATTTGAATCATTTTCTTCTATTGTTAAGAGATGCAAATTGTGCTACAAAAGATATCTCTCCTCTATGTTTTTCAATTTCTACTTCTTTCATCCTTTCCAAAGAATTAACACTTGATTATGCCTTACAATTTACAAATTCTTTCCACTTAAAGAATCTCATTTATTCCTCACACTACCCCCAGGAGGTAGTTGTCTTTACCATTCTCTTTTACATTAAAAAAATGAGAGAAAGAAAACTAAAGGTCAAAAGCATTCGATAATGGTTCTCCAATAAACATCTATGAGTGATGCATTTAGGTGGGGAAAGTGATGGTGGGAAGGTGGAGACAAATGTATTTAAACAACAAAAAAATAAAGTAATATAAAATTTAAAAAAATAAAGCAGACACTTCTTAGATAACTAATTAGGGAAAGAGAATAAAATAAAAGGATATTGGAATTTTCATTCATATGTTCACTTCAAAATAAGAAAAATACATGATTTAGATTTTTTTATTAACTGGAAACTGAAAACCATACATAACTGCTTAGGGAAAAATAAATCTTAACAATTATGGTCAAAGGATTACATAATATCAAACAAATAAGGAGCCTTGGGGATACATACTCCAATCTTTCAATTTTGCTAATGAGAAAACAAAGCCTAATAAGAATTCAGTGATTTCCCTCCCAAAAAAAGAGCAGCTAATAGAGGAAAATTGGGTGTAAGGAATTATATCTCAAAGGAAAAAAGTTATTAAAACCCAAAATGATTAAGCTATTCCTGACTCCTCAAGAGAATGATGTAATTTATATGAGAAAGAAAAATCTTTTCTATTCTCCCTTCCACAGAGTTGGGTGAGAGAAGGATTAAGGAAAAAACAAAAAACAAACAAACAAAAAAACCCCCCAAAACTGAACTAATAGGGCCTCTGCCAGTTCTTAGAAGCAGTTACAGCTGTGATTCCAAGGAACGTGGTTGATTAAAGTTACTTTGAAGAAGACAGGGCGAATATGATCCTGGGAGAGATGACACTGTTTACTCAAGCCTGCTGCATCTCTGGAAAAGCGGAGCTTGGCTAGAAGCTGAGGATGAGTTAGTGGGTCTGTATAATAAAGGGAAGAGCTTTGGAATGGATGGGGGAGCCCAGGAGAAGAGACCCCAAAAGCAGAGCTGGAAATAGACTTCAGGAAGCGCAGGGGTCAGGCAGTATGCTGTGAAGTTGTAATATATCAAGAAAAGTAGCTAGTAAGAAATCGTGATGTCGACATTTCAAGCTGACATTGTTTGCATAGCTATTACATGAACTGTCTCTGCTGGAGTATCCAAATCTGCACTCAAAGCTGCTAGACACAGACTTGTGTGTGGTGTTTGGAAAAAGTGTTATGCTATTTCCTGCTCACCCTGGCAGGAGGGAAGAAGGTGTTACAGCTCGCGATACCAAGGGAGTCAAGAATCCACTGGCTACAGGAACCTGAAGGCAGAGTTGACAGAGGCATCTGAAATCCTAGACACTCTAGATATTACCTGAGGGCATAGGTGAAGCCCCTCCAGCAACCCGGGTGCAGCCCCTGGGATTCCCAAAAGATAGGAGTTAGAAAGTTGAAGCTTATTTTATTTACACCCCAATGGACATCATGACCTCAGCTGACATCCGGTTCTCAGGAAAAGAGAATCTATTACAGAGGTTGTGACTGCTGTATTTTCTTACCCAAAACAATTCAGTGATTTTCATTTAAATGGTGAAGATGAGGGAAGGCACATGGGACAAAGATTTAATGTCTGGAGTGCCTTGAGTGCTAGGCTACCTGCAATATGTATATATATTATTCTTTATAATGTTCTATACAAGTGTATCTTTTAAAAAATATATCTTTGTTTTAGAGGAAAGAAAACAGCCTTGCTCAGAGAAGTTAAGTAACATCTCTAACTGGAGAAATCCAAGATTTTAACACAGGCTGCCCGACTGCAAATCCACGTACTTCCCATTAAAACATACTTCTTGCTATGTTGAAAATCTGTGTATTTATTTATATTTTAGTCTTGACAGATGCAAACAGAATCAGCATGAATTCACTAAGCATATTCCTATAAATAATACAGTACCCCTAAGCCCTCCTAAATGGAAATATTTCAGAGTATTTTCAGTAAAGGGCCAGGGTGTATTAGACATTATGAATATAGAAAGGCTCTGCTATGCTAACAGTACTCTAGTTCAGCTACGTTTAAAATTAACTGTCAAACATGAGTATTTCCCCAATATTATTTTGTAATAGCATATTCTGTATGCATAGAGTGTTGCTTATATTGTAAGGGTAGAAAGAAATAAACCCTGTACAACATGCAGGCTTTTCTTTTCTTGTTTTTGTCCCTAATACTTATACTGTGGACTGATATTATGTGCTTTATACACACTCTTTTGGAGTACTCATGGTAGAGTGTCAAAATTAGTGGTTACATGTTGCTTTTCCCAATTAGATCATAAATTCTCTATAGGAAGAGTCATGGTCAGCACACAGTAGGTGTTTGATACATTTTGAACAAGAGCAAGGCAACAGTTACAATCATTTTATCTTTTGCCTAAACCACATTCAAATCCAGGATTCTAAGATATAAGCATCCTTTGGTTTTTCACTCCTTAATGAATTAGGATACTTTCTGTAACTTTTCTACACCTTTCAAGATTCAAGTCCTTTCAATTTATAATTAAGTTCCAATGTTTTTGTCTCTAATATACTTTAAGCTTCAAGAATATTACATCTGCAATAGCATTAAAACTGTAAATAACAGATCATTTGAATGTATACTTTTGCATAAAATTACATGTATCATAACCTTTGGCACATATATAACAAAGAAAAACATAGTATTGTATATTCCTTAGTCTCCTAATTTAACAATTCCTGTTTTAACAAAGACATTCACTTATAGCACCAGCAACATGAAATAATCAGAATGCAAGTTTGTACATAAAGATAACGTAATAAATGTAGCCCAAGGTTTCGACTCACAAAATTTACCCAGCATACAGAAATGTTTTTTTTTAAATGTTAAATAGAAACATTTAAGACA